GTCGTTTGACCCCAGTGCTCTTCCTGCCATGGCAGGGGGTCGGACTAGATGATCTGCTCAGGTCCCTTCCGACCCTAGAAACTATGAAACTATTTTCCATCATGTCCCATAGGATAGAGAAGAAGTTTGATTGCTTCAGTACTCCCCAGTGAGGAATGAGGCTTGCAAAGGTGCATGCAGAGAGAAGGAGGGGGCTGTCACTATGCTGCAGTGTCTGCTCTTAAAAGCCAGGGAGAGATTTCCCTGCCTCCAGCTGTGCTAATGTGATGCACACACAGGCGGGAAGCTTTTCTCTACCCAAGGGGATGCTTTTGCCTTATCAACATGAGGCGTTATCTCACCCAAACCTTCACTGTAGATTTGCAAAGAATGAAAATCAGAGTGTGTGTAAATGTTAAATAGGTCAGAATTCAGGCCCACTGTCAGATGCTCAGAATAAACCTCTTGGGACACAGAGGGAGACAGAAATGACTTACTCTTGCCTGGTAACTGCAGATTAAAATTAAACTGGATATTTAATATCTGCCTTTAAATGCAGCACCATAAAGGGCTGTTATGTAACCTCAGCAAAAACAAGTCAGCTGTGGAGGCAGCCGCAGCCCTGCCTTGCTATAGCTATGAACTTCAGTGCCTCCTACTGGTAGCATCTGGGACTGGAGCAGCTGAGAGCTCCCTCACAGTCAATGCTTCTGTCCCACTCCCTAAAGACTGGGAGAGATTGGGACAAGGGTAGCCAGGAGCTCCCCCACTGTCTGTGCTACTGCTCTGGTCTCTAACATTGCATCTGCTGACAAATGAAGTAGCTGGAAGTTTTGCAAGAGTCAGCAATCCCACACCATTCCTTGCATTTTCTCCTGCCAGGAAAGGCTTAGACAAGAGCCCAGTAAACAAACCCAGAGCAATGTAATGGCCGCAAAATCCCAGGTGTGGTAAAACCAGTATGGTCCATTTTGGTTCAGGAAGCAAGCCACCTCACCACGTCACAGCGTTACAATGGGATAGTGATGCATCACTCCTCAGCCTCTGAAGCAGCACTGAGGCTGTCGCCATTCCAGTGTGAGGGGCTCAGCCCACAACACTCACCGTTTTATTGGGCCAGTTGTACTTCTCAAACACATCTTGGACTCGGTCTTCTCCACCATCCGTGAACATCATGATCATCTTGTTGCAGTTGGCTCGGGTGATGTTGGACTGCAACCAAGAGGGAGACAGTGAAGTCAGGCTTTGGAGCTGTCAGGCTTGCTAGAACCAATCACATGGTCAGAGGACATGTCTCCAGCATATTCCTGGGTCAAAGCAGGCCTGGGCCTTTGCCAGAAAGGGCTATACATATGGTATGTCTATTACAGGAGGGGCTGGTACCACTGCCTACTTTGCAGTTTTGCTGACAATTTCCATTAAAAGACTGGCTTTCAGCTGCATATAATGTTTTGAAGCTTTAGCTCTTTGTCTCAGAAATGTCTGAGAACAAGGTTAAGGGGAAATACACTGTTTTGTCTGTGTTAAAAAATGTTGGCAACCTTTCCTCTGCTGCTCCCATGCTTTGCATCAAGGATTTAGTGGAGGAGGGACCTTTGTTTTAGGGATGTGCCTTTTACCATTCCCATGAAACTCAGCCCAAATTTAGCCTTTGAAAAACCACACACTACACATGCTCAGTAGATGCTTCTTCCATTTCAGCAGTCAAATTCTTTTAAGTTTCCATCCTCACTAAGAATGCTCCATTCCTTCCTAGCTTCTAGTGGTGACCAGACTGCATATAGATCATAGGGCTGGAGGTGCTGTCTAATCCAATCCCCTACACAAAAAAAAGATTTGCTTTTCCAAACTATCCACACCATCTCTCCAGAGCAACTGAGCATGTTCCAGCCCAGCACTTCAGGGACAAGGCTGGATTTTCCTTCCACCTGGTACTCCCAAATGCACCCTATTAGGGCAGAACTCAGCACTAGGACTGAGAGGAACAAGCCATTTTCTTCTCTGCTTTCTCCATGACCTCTCACATGGCAACTAGATAGCACAAAAGAAGCAGCTGTCTGGTCTAATGTAGAAGGGAACAAGGCAGACCATGAAGAGAGGAAAGGTATGCAATGGGAGAAGAAATCTGCAATGCCCCACTTCTGGAAGAAGCTGGGACTGCAGTAGCTTGAAACATCTTGGCAGCCATCAAGATTCCTGCCCCATGTACCTGATTTTTGGATGCTCAGATGATGACAGTGTCACATACCCCAAATCTACCCAAATCATAGTTCAGGACTGTCCCCCAGTCTCCTAGTGAGGAGTGGGAGGGTGAATGGAGCAGCAGTGTTGTTTTGAATTTCTGTAGATGCACTATTCAACACAATGTTCCACACACAAACAGGAGTGTGAACATTTGTATGTGTAAGTGCAAGGCTACACCAGAGAGGCAGGGTGTATGTGCAGCAGTGTACTTGTGAGTGCATGTCTATGTCAGAGGCAGGGTAAGGTACTGTGAGTACACAGCAGTGCGTATGATTTTGTGTGTGTATGTGAAGGAGGTGGGTGTGTCAGGCCGTGTGTGTATGTGTATGTACAAACCAGAGACAGATTATTTTGCACCTCCACAGAACTCACCCCAGGCTGCGATGCTGGCTGTGACAAATCTGTTTTCCGCGCCTGTTTCTCCAGGGGTGAAGGTGGTGCAGGTGAGCGGGGAGAAGTGGGGGGGGGTGCCTGTCTGGACGGAAATTATGTTGTGGCTATTACTGCTCAGCTATTAATAGGGCTATTCATCTTTATTTTTCCCGACGTCATGGCGGCCCATCTGAGCTGAGCCCTTCCAGAGTGGCCCTGCTAACTTTTAATGAAACGTAAGAGGCAGCAGCAGCACCTGTGAAAATTTAAATCTCAGTAACTGAGGCACGTCATTTATCCAGGGAAGGCTGCAGCAGCTACACAGGCAGGCCCCCACGCCCAGGACAGCTGGGTTGGGCACTGCCAGCTGTTGCTGGTCTCATTCAGTGCTTGGCAGTTGCTTGTGATCCTGGGCAAGAGCCCTAGGAAGGGGCATCTCTGGAAATCTGTCACTGAAGACCATCTTATGGAGCCACTGGAGTGAATGGTAAAGAGAGATGCCAATTAGGTGCTCCCAGTATCTCCAGCCCCAGCCTCTCCCAGCAGGGTGGGGGAGGAAAGGGCAGGAGTGTTGGCTTTAGGGTAGTCCCAGCTGCTCCAGACCCAGTGCCAGCAGGTGGAACTGCAGGGTGTCAGGCAGGTGTACTGGTAGTGGGGAGCTCCTGGATATTCTGCTCCTAACCTTTCCCAGCAGAGGGAGCTGTTGAGAATTATAGGCCACCTTTACACCCACATTGCTTCATCTCTGAGGTCTGACCCCGACTGAAGATTTCTGCAATTCTCTCCAATTCAGAGGAAATCTGCAAGCTCATACACATGCAGGTTAGAAACGGGTTTTCTATGAGTCCGACATCCTGGCACAAGACTGTGGGACTTGATTCTAAATCCCAGGGCCCACTGTCTTTTTCTCAGATAAGTGACAGAAAAGCTAATTGTTCTGGACTTTTATATGATGGACTTGGGGGCTGTAGAACTCAGGACCAAGGAAGGTCTAGCCACAGCTAATTAACTCTGGTACAAAGATTACAGAGCAAAGTTTCCAGCAGGGACCCAATCTTTTCGTTGCATGATGGCTGCTTGGATCTGAGGCTCTGGCTCAGGTCCAGAAGTGAAGAGATTTTGGAAGGAGGTTCTACAGGAAAATGGCTCAGTGGGCACACCTACACATGCATTAATGTGCCATAGTTACTGAGCATTAAGTTTAGTACCTGTAAGAACAGGTAATAACTCAATGCTCAGTAACTGGTGCTACTGCACAGTACTGCCAGTGCACACCTTTTTAGTGAAGCTAATGTTCAGTAGATTACTTCTAACTGCCGTGACATGCTAATGCACAGTAGAATTAGTCTACTGCACATTTAACATTTTGTGTAGACGCACCCACCCTGGAAGGCTGGCAGAGCTACTGCTGAAAGGAGAATGCCATTTTCCTTTTTTAAACGAGTGGAGCAGCTCTGTGGCACGGTTCTGTGATGATGAAGAAGACAGGGCCAAGGAGATGGTTACTTTCATAGACATTAGGGCTGGAAGGGACCTCAGAAGATCATCAAATCCAGTCTCCCGCCCAAAGGGCAGAAAGTTGGCTGGGGTCATAGGATCCCAGCAAGATAAGCATCCAGTTTGCTCCTGAAGGTGTTCAATGTAGGTGCTTGAACCACCTCCGATGGCGGGCTGTTCCAGACCTTGGGGGCTCGGACAGTAAAGAAATTCTTCCTTATGTCCAGCCTGAAACTGTCCTGTAGTAGTTTATGACCGTTCGACCTCATCATCCCTTGGGAGGCTCTGGTGAACAAACGTTCCCCCGGATCCTGGTGAGCACCCCTGATTAACTTATAGGTGGCCACCAGATCACCCCTGAGCCTGCACTTTTCCAGGCTAAAGAGCCCCATGGCTCTCAGCCTGTTGT